GTGGGGCTGGGGAGACAAAGAGATGGATCCCCTAATTTAGATGCCTCGAGGACAGGTTTCTCTGTCTCTCTCTGTCTCTCTCTCCCTCACATTTTGTTTGTTCGCGCTGGTTGTCATCTTTGGTCTCTTTTTAGAACCGATCTTCCCATTGCAGGAGGGCAACTCCCTTTTCCATTTTCATCTCAATTTTCTACCTCTCTCCCGTGTCGACCTCATCCATCCGTGCTCGTGACCCTCATTCATGCCCTGGTCTCTTTACAGCTGCCTTCTAGACTCTTCTGCTGCATAGCCTGCAATACCTTAAACTCAATAGGCCCCACCCACCGAACTCATCACCTAGTCTCCCCACACAGGTTTCCTTACTTCTCAGAAGAACACCGTCACCCTCTCAATTCACTGGGTTCAAAGTCATCTTTGACTCTCCCTTCTCTTCCCCTCACATTCAATCAGTAATCTGGGCCTTCATTGCATCTTGCCTGGACCATTATCAAAAGCTTATCTCCAACATTCTATATCCGTCGGAGTCCGGTCAGAAACACAGAAAAATAGTGTGTTCTGTTTTGCTTCAACAGGGAGAAAATAATAGAGGGAATTGATTAAGCACGTGCTAATCTTTTTCAGAAAGTAAAGAGGAGCACCCTGACTTAGCACAGAGGTGATAACTGCAGGAAGCAGCCATGAAGTGTGGGGCTGGGGAGAACCAAGAGAAGAGATGGGGGCACCCTAATTTAGATCCCTCGAGGACAGGTTTCCCAGGGTTAGGAGTCAGACCTCTGAGCAGAGAGCCCTGCCTGGTTCCTGCTGGGGCTTCTAAGGGAAGACGATGGAGGTGGTTGGGGAACTGCGGGAGAAAAGCTAGACACGGATTCCAACTGTCTTCATCAGGGTTCAAGGCCATTGTAGGGACAACACTGAGAGGAACAGCTGGCAAGAAAAGTGGAGTTAAGTCTCTTCTCCCTTCCTCCTCCCCTATCTGCAGAACTTAATGGAAAATCAGCTGACAAGGAAATTGTAGTTTTTAGAATGCTAGTCCCAGAACACACAACACAGTATAGAAAGGTGAATTTGGCACATTTCCTTACCTCTAACCAATTTCCCAAATATTTCTAAATTATTAGCATTTATTGAGCCAAGTATAATTCTGAGCGCTTTATATGTTATTACGACATTTAATCCTCTTAACAACATTTGGGAGTATATACTATTGTTATCCACATGATACAAACGAGGAAACAGAAGCATTATATAGGGAAGTCATTTGTTCAGAGGCAAAAGTCACTTACAGTTGGCATATCCAGGATTCAAACCCGGGGTGCCTAGCTATAAAACACTGACTCTCAAACTTTTTATTTTTTTAAACTTTCACACCAATACGTAGCTGAGGAAAAAGTCACAATCAGACGGTAGGGGTAAGAGGCCTTAAGCATATGATTCTCAAACTGTAGCATGTGCATGTGAGAATCATTTGGGGAACGTGTTACGAATTCAGATTCTAAGACTCACTCCTCAGAGAACTGAGGGTAGCGGTCTGACTCTGGAGGGTCTGAGAAGAGGAATTTGAATTTTAAACAAGTGATCCCTGGACACCACTCCCATCACCACCCCAGGCCCGTTATTCTGATGCAAATGGTCTGTGGACCACAATTTAAGAATACTTACTTGGCAGGGGTTGGTGAGAACAGACAGGAAGACAGAACTTAAAAATATCCTTCTGTCCCCCAGTTGAGATTCAGTCCTCAAACACAACTCCGATCACATCATGTCATGCTTAAAATCCCTTCAATTCATTCAACAAGCTCATGTAACAGATTAATTCAAGTAGTTACTGAATACATACTATGTAGTAGGCAATATTCTAGGCACCTGGGATACATCAGTGAACAAAACAAAAATCCCTCAGGGACCTGCTATCCTATTGGGTTGGGGAAGGAGACCGTAATGCAACAGACATATTAAATTACATAGTATGTTAAAAGGCAGTAAGTGCTAGGTCAAAAATGCAGAGTAGGGTGAAGAGGACGAATAGTTCGAGGAAAGGCTATTCCAACTTTCTAGATGTTGGTGAGCATGGGCCTCATCGAGAAGTTGACATCTGGAAAAAAGCTCAGAGGAAAGGCATTTCACCCTGTGGATATCTGGGGAAAGAGCATTCCAGGCAGGGCACAGCAAGGAAAGGCTTGAGGTGGAAGCATGCCTAGCAGGTGTACAGGCATCAGCAAGAGGGAAAGCACAAGTGGTCAGATCCTGTCGGGCCTTGCAGGCCACTGTCAGGGCTTTGGCTCTTCCTCTGGTGAGCTCGAGAGTCACTAGAAGGTTCTAGGCAGAGAAACAATAGGATTCAGTCGGTCTTTCATAAGGATCACTCTGGCTGCTTGTGGCAGGGTAAGGGTGGAAGCAGGGAGACCAAATAAGAAGGCTGCAGTAACCCAGGCAAGAGGTGATGGTAACTCAGAACGACAGCAGCAATGGTGGTCAGAAGCACTCAATTTTGGATGTATTTTCAAGATGGAGTCCACAGGATTTCTCAAAGAAATCTCAATCTGGCATATCACGAGAGAAATAGAATCATCAAGAAAAGATTCTAAAGTTTTGATGTTGAGTAATTGAAAGGATGGAGTTTCCAAACAGCTGATATAGGGAAGACTAAGGGGTAGGGAACAGGGTTGTTTACTTTTTATTTATTTTATCTTCAAAAAAATGTTTTTAATGTTTGTTTCTGAGAGAGAGAGAGAGAGAGAGAATGAGCTGGGGAGGGGCAGAGAGAGAGAGGGAGACACAGGATCTAAAGCAGGCTCCAGGCTCTGAGCTGTCAGCACAGAGCCTGACATGGGGCTTGAACCCATGAACTGTGAGATCATGACCTGAGCCAAAGTTGGACGCCTAAGCGAATGAGCCATCTGGGCTTCCCTATTTTATCTTTAAATTTACTATGTTTTATTTAATTCTTTACTTTTTATTTGTGAGGGTGAGGATAGAGTGGAGATTAGAAGTTCAATTTCAATTTTGGACATGTTAGGATGTCTATTAAACATTTATTTAAGTGGATAGAGTTGGAGAAGAAGTCTGAACCAGAGTTAAAAGTCTGGGGCATTTTGGTACACAGACCGTATACACAATCACACAACTGGACGAGATTGTCAAGGAAGGAGAAGTGAGTTTAGATGAAGGACAAGAAGTTCAAGAACTAGCCACTGAGACATTCCAACATTCAATGGTAGGGGAAGGAAAACAGCAAAGGAGACTGGGGGATCTCGAGAGCAACCAGTGGGGTTAAAAGGAAACTCAGGGGCGCTGTCTCGTGGAGGCCGCGTGCGGAAAGTGTATTTGGGAAGACGGACTGGCCACCGTCAAATGCTGCTAAGCAGTTCCCATGGAGGGCAGGGGTGAAAGCCTGACTGCTTAAGTGGGTTAAGAGGAGGAAGGGGAGACAGGAATTGAAGATACCAGCCAGCCACAACATTTTCAAGGACTTTTTATTGACGAGGTAAGGAAACAGCTCCTGTTGCTCACTTAAACCTTACAGCTCCTTGGCTTAACATTCAAGGCCCCTGGTGACCTCGTCCCAATCAACCACTTCGATTTACTAACCGAGTGCCCCATTTGAAACACCCTATAGACCCAGCTGCCATGGTTCTAACTATACTTCAGACTCTCCCATTATCTGCATTCGGAGGGTTCTCTACATGAGAATGCCTTTCACTTCCAACTCCGGATTTCCAAACTAAGTACCATTGAAAGGCCCTTTGCAATGCCTTATCGTCCATAGACACTTCCCTTATCACATCCACTGAGGCTCTCTCCAACCTCTAAACTCTATTTTATTTGTACCTTTCTTATGGCTTTTAATATCTTCTACGTTATCTTATAGTTTCATTCATCTTAGCTTTCCCTCTAGATTGCAAGCTCTGTGATTAGTATGCCCAATTAAATGTTTTATGGCCTGAAAGACCTATCATGGTGCTCAATCAATACCTGTGGAATAATTTAAAAATTAATGAAATGTGCTTTCCATGCCATGTATCACTTGGAAGCACTGGCATATAGTGGTTTGGAAGGTGTGAGGCGAGGAATTTGAATTTTAAACAAGTAAGCCCCTGCTCCATCCCTAGAATTCTGGTTAAATGGTGTGTGGGCCACAATTTGAGAATATATACTTGGTAGGGTTAGAAGAGAAAGGGAAAGGCTATAGCTTGAGAAAGTCCTTCTGTCCCCCAACTGAGAATCAGATCAAACAATTATGATCACATCATACCCTGCTTAAAAACCCTTCATTCAATAAATTGAAACATTTATTGAACACACACAACGTGTCTGAGAATATTCAAGGTGACTCTAGGCTCTAGAGTGGCTACCCCACTTGGTATCTAAGTGACCTTGGAGAAGATACAAACTTCTTTAGGCTTTAGTTTCCTTATCTGCAAAGGCTCGGTGCTCTGTAGAAGAAAGGAGAAAGGATCCTTGAAAAATTGAAAGGTCAATGTGGCTAGAGTACAAAGCGTGGTCCAGAGTGAGACTGGGAAACAAAATAAGGTTATATTATTCAAGGCCTTGTAGGTCATGATGAGAAGTTTAGCCTTTACCCCAAGAGCGAGGGGAGCCTTAAGGAAGGGTTTTCAGTAGGAAGGTGCCATGTCCAGGGGCATTTATATACAATACCAAGAGTTAAAGTGGAATTAGTTTTTCCTCCAGAACAAGGGAAATTAGCACTTACAATCACATCAGTCCAATATTTTGAGGGTACTAAGTAAAAACAGTAATTAATCTTGAAAACCTCATCTGTTCCAGTTTCTAAGTAAGATGGAAAATTAAATCTTGCTTACTGGTGTTAACAGGGAGCTCAACTCGGTCCTGGAATTGTGAATCAGTTTCTTTATGCCCTACATACACCTTTTCTCAATTTAAGATTCTGAAAGTTAAGTGTCAGAAATGAAGTCTCAACTACAAAAAAAAAAAAAAAAAATTTATTAAGTGTGAAAGCCAAACAGGTACTTCTATTTAGATATTTTTTACATATTTATAGATAAAACAAACAAATAATTTATCAAAAATTACAAGCTTAAAGAATAGTACTATTTTGAAACAACCAATAAAGTATTTGAAAATACGACATTTTATCCATAATTGGTGAATATTATCTCAAAAAAAAAAAAAAGTAAGTTGTATTTTCTTGTGAAACATATAAAAGTGTTTTTAGATGTCTGCCAAGATTGTTCAGGAACAGTCCATCTTGCTAAATCTAAAAGCGTAGTGCCTTTCTGGAGAACTTGTGTTTTTACTAAATAGCTTTACAGACCACCTGTGTTTTCCTTTGGGCTTCGGTGAACTCCTAATCTTCACTTCACTTGCAGACCACAGGGCATCAACATGAACACAGATCAGAGTGAGAGTCTGGAGTCGCTTTTCTTCATACTGAGCGAAGGACTTTCTCCTTAGCTGGGTGGAAGACCATGCTGTATTGGGACGTCCAATCTACGGCACAGGGCTTCACCAAGCCAAAGCAGCCACACTGAAAGAAATCTGCAAGGTTCTGCGTGAACCCAAGGCTGCCAAGGAAGGAAGAGAACACATCTTACTACTTTTCCTGTTTACCTTTGACAAACATTCATCCAGACCATAAATATTCACTGAGAATTTACAATATACGACATCCTTTGAAGATCCTGCAGGAATCCAGAGGTGAATCAGACCGTTCCCTGGCTTACGGGACATTAAAATTGATGCCCAGTTCCATCTCTGGACCTGAATCCCTATTGTGAGATTCTCTGACTCCTGCCCAGCAACTTAATTTCCTTCTGAAGCGCCCCACTCACTGGAATGATGGCTGCCATCAAGAAGTTTCCTTCTTTCCATTCCCACTGCCCTGATTCAGATTTTGATTATTTCAGAGGCCAGGCAGGCCAGCAACAGTACAGTCAACAGATGTTTGTGTTTTTTTTTCCTTAAACTTTCTAAGTTAAATATGGCCCTGGCCCTGTCTCAGTTCTTTCCAATTAATCTTTTTTTTTTTTTTTTAATAGTCCAGAAGTCTTTTGTCCTTTTTTATACCTATCATCCCATGAACTCTGAGGAGCTCGGGCTCCTTTCCACTGGTTCTCACTAAGTGTGCTTCTCTGGGTGGGGCAGGCTGGCGTTTCCACTGAATTCAAGAACCTTTCTCCTTGGCTTCCTTCTTCTGATCATTTTCCTGCACATGCTTCGCACGAGCTGCCTCGGCTCTTAGAGTGCTTGATATGCACACTACATACGTTAGTTCTCTTGGCAAGAATCTTCCCTCAACTTCTGGGTTTACGACACTGCCAACAGCACGCCGGGTGACACCGTAGACTCCTGCGGTTGTGCCATGGGAACCTTTGCAGCCCGTTCCCTTGATGTCCACAACATCACCTTTCTGACAGATTCACAAGCATGTGAGCAGAAGAGCAACTCCGTGTTGTCTAAAAGGCCTAGAGAGAATGCAGCGGGGGCCTCCCCTCCTTCCCTTGTTGCTGGTCATTTTGGCGAATTACTCGAAGATGGCAGTTCCAACCAAAGGGAGGGAGCTCCTTCCAATTAATCTTACCTATCGGACACGGTGTGGTCTTCCAAAAACCTCGCCAAAACCCAAACCCTATACACTAAAATACATCTGTGCCTGAGGATGGCTGTGCATCTGCCGCTGCTATGACAGTGATCAGGACAGGACCATCTCCACTCCTAGAAGACCAGCTCCAGAGCTAGTTGGTGAGGGAAAGCAACTCAGGGTAAGACAGACAAGACAAATCTTCAATCTGGGCAGGTTTTTCGAAGCTAGATTCACAGTGGCTCTAAGGCTTTGCCGTTAGGTCCTCCGGCCCACATTGCCACCACTCAGCAGTTCCAAACACGCCCCAGCTCTCTCATCTCAGGCCCTTCTTCCAGACTCTTCTCTGGGGCTTGAAATGCCCTTCTGTCCTTCTCCATCATGCCCCACCACACATCCTTCAAGGCTCAGCTGAAAATTCCACCTCTGTCACAAAGGCTTCCATTCTTCAGTGGAGTAAATATTTATCTCTCTGGTTAAACTCCTGAGAAAGGACTTTACGATCATTGCCAGTCTGAGACAATCGTCACAAGCCTAACACTACTGTCCACCTTCCACCACCGAAGCCGTCTCTTCTCAATTTAGTCAACTGCTCTCCTCTCTAAACACAGATCATAGTCATATCCCAGGCTCTGAGTTCCTTGTCTAACAGCCTAACAGTTTCATCTCGTACCACAAGTGTGCTTTAAAATAGACTGCTCATGAGATATGCAGTGGGCGTTAAATCCCCAGAGGGCTCAGGGTCACCTCTGCAGCACTCCCAGCTTCCAAGACCCCGATATGTATGACAGGGAGATAAGCTTCAAAGCCTGACTGTTCATATCGTAAGATGACAGGCTTCCTACAAACACTCTCATTTTCTACTGAGGACAGGTTTTATACAACCGATGCTCTTGGGAAAACATACCCCAAACCCGAAACACTAGTTTCTCCCTGACGCGGAGGGGCACATTAAACACAGGGCTAAAAGAATCACTGGTGATAGAAAGGTAGGTTGAAAATCTTGGCAAAGTTCACAATCTAATGCTTTCTGCAGACAGCCTGGTGGCTGGAATTCTCAGCCACGTGCTCGGTTATCTCACACTGACTTCACGCCAGCAACATGCAATCCTGTGACCATGTGGCTTGACTAAAGAGATTCCCCACGTTGGCAAAACTTCAAAGTCACTTAGCTATTTGTGACAAGTCCAGCAGACTAAGTCCCAAATTCTTACCACCTTGGGGCTCATGACCTCACCACTCACCTCCTGTCAGTCACTAAGGCTTCCAAGAAATAAGAGGTTCAACTCCATCAGATAGCAAGTTAGAGTGCAGCATGGCCTGAGTGGTGGCAGCAGACTGGGAAACCAATGGTTAGGCTAGCATCCTCCACAGGACTCAGTGGTCAAAACAGATGGGACTTACTTGTATGGAGTCCTCCTGAGGGACAATGTCTGTTTCATATGCCTGCTCTGCTTCAACAGGCTGGTTTTCTCGTGGGAAGTCAGGCCCAGGAAAGCAATCTGCAAAAGAAGTTTGGAAGGTACATGAAAAATACCGCTACGTCAAGGTTCCGTTTCTCTCCGTGCATCACAGGACAGAGGTAAACATTCAGTACTCCCCCAAATACAGTGTCACCTCGCCCTCTAAGCAAGGATCATGGTGAGGATAACAACAGCTCAGCAGCTCTAAATGAGACTCTCCTATGTAAATCTAGGAGCTGAGCAGTTGTTTATTTATTTATTTTTAAGAAATCTCTACACCCAATGCGGGGCTCAAACTCATGACCCCGAAATTATGAGTCACACACTCTGCTGACTGAGCCAGCCAGGCACCCCTGAGCATTTATCCTTTTGACTGATTTTTATTAACCTTCAAAAAAGCAGAGTCATGAAATAATTGTTTTAGTGATTTAAGCCAGGGCTTACCACCTTGTTTAGGTTCTCAACACGTTCAGCATGCAACTTTTAGATGAATAAAACAATATGTGATCAGCATTACTGCAATTCTCACTTTGTGTATGCTTCTTAGTAGTTCTTTAGAAAGGGCCAAATGAAAAAGTTAAAGAACATTTAAATGTACTGAAGTGAAGAACATTTAAATCCACAATTTGGGGAAAGGTAAGAATTCAGGTAACTTAAATACTCCCAAATATGGAGCACCTGGGTGGCTCAGTCGGTTGTGTCTGATTCCTGATTTCAGCTCAGGTCATAATCCCATGGTTTCGTGAATTTGAGCCCCACATGAGCTCTGCAGTGACAGCGTGAAGTCTGCTTGAGATTCTCCCTCTCCCTGCCTTCTGCCCCTACTCTACTCACACTCTCTGCCTCAAAATAAATGAATAAACTAAAAAAAAAAAAAAAACAAAAAAAAACCTCCCAAATCATCCGGGTGCCTGGGTGGCTCAGCTGGTTAAGCGGCCTTCAGCTCAGGTCATGATCTCATGGTTTGTGGGATCGAGCCCCACATTGGGTTCTGCTTGAGAGCAGATTCTACCCCTCCCCCACTCACATACTCTCTCTCAAAATAAACATTAAAAAAAAAAAGGCCCTCCCAAATCATTAAAACAACTATTACTGAGTTACCCCCATTTAATCCTGAAAATACCTCAAACATCAAGCTCCTTATCTGTAAAACAGAGATTATCACACCATCCTCCCTCATCAGATTGCTTAAGGACTTGACATCATATATTTAAAATACCCAGTGCAGAGGCTCCTGGAGGTAAATGGTCCAAAGTCACACAGCTTAGAGAGTGGCAGAACTGAGACAGATACCTCAGTCAGCGTGAGAATAAAGTTCATGGTCCTTACCACAGACTACATGCTCAGTTTGACTTGCTATAGTCAAAGCCATGACTCACCAGAGCAGTCATCAAATGAAAGGCTTCGAACAACAGAATTGGTTTATTAAGAAAACAACATTACAAGGGGGCACCTGGGTGACTCAGTTGGTTAAGTCCGACTTCAGCTCAGGTCATGATCTCGTGGTTTGTGAGTTCGAGTCCCATGTCGGGCTCTGGGCTGACAGCTCGGAGCCTGGAGCCTGCTTCGGATTCTATGTCTCCCTCTCCCTCTGTCCCTCCCCTGCTCACACTCTGTCTCTCTCTCCTTCAAAAATAAATAAACATTTAAAAAAAAATTTTTTTTAAGAAAACAACATTAAATTGCTGTATTTGAAAACTACCCGAAACTTTGAGTTCATTTTCCTTGCCTTAGAAAGTATTAACAAAATTAAGGTTTCTTTAAAAAATTGATATTATAGTCTTACATATACTGTCCTTGTCCTAAGCCTCCAGAAAAGAAGAAAGAGAATTAGAATCCATGTCTCAAACCTTAGGTTCTACATCTGCTTCCACCTCTCACCACCCTTATGGACAAAACTGGGCACTCGACATCTCATAGGCTTAGTTTTCTCACCTTTAGAATGGAGACACTACTTTGGCACAATCTATACCTCAAACGTCTGTCGGGGAATAGATAGGAAAGTGCTCTGGAATATGTAAGATACAGATAAATACTAGGTATCATACGAGATAGTAGTTAATATTAATAATCACTGATGCTAATACTCATTCTTACTGCCTGAGTCTATCGATGCCAGAGGGGCAGAAGATTAAGATGAATGTTCAGAAGCCTCCGTTCAGTGGGTGTTACCAGCTTAATTCCTTTCCTTGGCACTTTTTTCCTTTGTCTGTCTTTATCACTTTGTACTATTATTGTAGAACTGGTTACTTCCCTGTTAAAGTGGAATGCACTTTTTTTTTAACATTTATTTATTTTTGAGACAGAGAGAGACAGAGCATGAACGGGGGAGGGGCAGAGACAGAGGGAGACACAGAATCCGAAGCAGGCTCCAGGTTCTGAGCCATCAGCCCAGAGCCCGACGCGGGGCTCGAACTCACGGACTGCGAGATCGTGACCTGAGCTGAAGTCAGACGCTCAACCGACTGAGCCACCCAGGTGCCCCGTGGAATGCACTTTTGAGGAGTAATGCTCTAATTATGTGAGTTCTCACAGTAATTGGCTCAGACTGACCACGGCCGTCCATTCCACAAGCACGGGCCACAGCAACAATGAGAATTAAGTTATGCTCATAGGGGAAGGAAGGCAGCAGGGAAGGGACAGTAGCTTCTTCGGAAGCTCAATGTGGCTACTACTGCCCTGGAGAGTGAACTTTCTAATGGCCATGACCTTCCCTAGAAGTGTAATTACCATGGTTACACTGGTTAGTGTGGGATCTTGCATTTCCTCCCCACTTCTACCCATTTAAGTGCTGCATAATAATCAGGACAACAAACAGGGTTGGAAAAAGTGAGAGAAGACAATCATCTCACACCTGCACAATGCTTTTATATTTTATATCATGTTTTCACATACTGTATGATTTAACTGTATGATGAAAAAAGCCTTTGAACAGGACGGTCAGTGGACCTAAGTTTCCGGTTCTGATTTTGCCACTTACTGGGTGACCTTGAGCAAGTCAGCTCTCTGTAAGTCTATCCGTAAAGTAAAAAGATCAGATTAGATCATCCCTACGGACAAGTTAACAACTCATTATTCTAACGTTTAAACGATCCTGTGAGAGTAGCATTATCAACCCCATTTTACAGACAAGGAACTGGAAATCCAAGAGTCAAATGACATGCCTAGACCCAGAGAGTAAGCGACAGAGGTGGAACTAGGACCCAAAAGCCTTCTGAGTTAAAATTCAAGTCTTTCTACCTTATTACAGTGTACTGGAAATTTTACTCAAAGGCTTTACAGAAGAGAAATTAATACCTGAAAGAGCTGATTTAATAATAAAAATGTTGACCACGAGAAGTGGAAAGTTGCTAGCATGAAGATATATAAAACCCAAGGGGAACAGGCCACAATCTGATTGAGGTAGGTCCACAGTCCATCTTCTCTGAATGTCGTGGCACAATGATTTGACCAATCTGTGGATTCACAAAAAAGAAACTCATTATTTAAAAAGGCAACAAACCAGTGATTATTGTACAAGAAGATAAAATCGCTGCACTTCTTTTCAGGGAGAAGAGACATAAGACATGAGAGCACAGAATAGAACCCAGCTTTAAGGATTTATCTTCTGGGGGTACTCGGATGGCTCCGTCGGTTAAGCGTCCGACTCTTGATTTTGGCTCAGTCCATAATCTCATGGTTCGTGGGTTGGGCCCTGCGTCGAGCTCCACGCTGACACTGCAGAGCCTGCTTGGGATTCTCTCTCCCTCTCTCTCTGCCCCACCCCTGCTCATGCTCTCTCTGAAAATAAACAAATAAACTTTAAAAAATTTTTAAAAATAATTTAAAAATCTAAAACATGGTGAAAAAAAGAATTTTTCTTCCAAGTGCCAACTTAACTAGCCAAGGTGAAAAACTGGCACCTCATTACTCATTAAAGCTATATGATAACACTGCATTGGTAGCTGGCAGCAAAGCAATAAAAGCAAAAAAGGTCCATAAGACCACCACTAAAACCACCATTTTCGGCATAAAATGAACCGGCCCAAAGTTAATTGTTTAAGGACTTGATGACAGAGAATGACTGGATTTAATAAATGTCTGTCTTAGAAAATTCTTTATTTTGTCCATGATACACAGGAGTCTATTAAAGCACTGAATAAACTCTTATTAAGGGTTCAGATCACTTGGCTGTTGTTGTAGGCGCAAGAAATCCTGTAAGCACCCAGATAACCATGGGAACACAACCTAACAGCATGCAGTTATTGGGTGTACTTCTGCACCAGCACCATAATTTATCCTGTAGAGAGGGAGAAAGTCCAGGTAAGGGAATTCATGAGACAGACACCCCTAGGAAAAGAGTAAAGGGAAAAAGATTCATATAGGAGGGAGAAAGATTCACATAGGCACGGCGCAATTTCTCTCCAGGAACACCTATTTATATGCCAATTAAAAGACAGGACTTCACTATGGCCTTTGTGACCTCCCTAAGCTATGCAGCTAAGAGCAGCACTAAGGAGAATGAAGGTGGGAAGCAGCAGAAACAAGGGACCAAATCCTCAAGGTCTTGCGAAGCCAATGGCTTCTGTAGGCCTCACGACAGTTTATAAAGGGCAAATTATTTTTGAAATAAGAATTCTGTAGATTTTCACCTTGAGGTTTCATAAATGCCTCTGACAATTTGATAAGTAGTTTCAGACAGTTTCCCAAAGCAGCACTGAAGAGCTCCTGGGACAGAAAGAAAATGAGTCCCTGACTTTACTATCGCCTGTCTGTCCATTTTAGTCTTAAAAGAAAAAAGTCTTTTTTCCCCCATTTTGAGCCTTATTTGATTCCCAACCATCTTTCATGCCTATACGTCAGAAGCAATCTAAGAGTAATCACCACAGAGTAACCATCAAGGCAACAAGTTAAGGCAAATTACACTCTCTTGAGAGCTTCTCATTAGGACGGCAGACAAAGATGCCTCTCGTGCACCTGATGTGACAAAAAAGACTATAATTCCCAACGGCAGGTACAGGAAACAGCTGCTGAGTGGGAAAGAATACCTACTTTCTTCCAGCTTACAGATTCCTACTCTCTCCTGGGAAATTTTTTGATCACACGGCATGACCCCCAACTAGAATTTTCACAGGACTGATTGCAGATTTAATGTCAAAGATAACGGCCACAAATGGCCACGTACATTATCTTCTGTGATATACAACTTTAATATGCGCTAATAATACATTCTTATCAGGTGGTCACTGGCTAATGAGAGGGGACTCATACTGTACCCAAGCTGATCATTTTCATTTTTAGATAGCTCTGCCAGCTACAGTGTTCTTTCTAACCATGATCTAAAATCTTTCTCCCTGTGACTTGCAGGATGCTGACCCTTTCTGAGTGTCCATCCTGAAAACAGACCTCACAAAGGACAGAACGGATGGAGGCTACACGGAGCCAGAACTGTAACTGGCTCACGCGAGGCTCGTGTGCATCAGGGCCGTCGCATCAGGAGTGTTAATGCCAAACAAAGAAGGTGGGATGGCGGGGAGGCCTTGTTAGAAAAATGAGGCACAAGTTCATTTTTCCTGTCTGTGAAGTAATGATAAATGACATGATGTCCTCATTCGGTGCCAGAATATAAATGGGATAAAACTAACAAAATACGTTGACTAGTCTACATGGTCGCAGGTGAATATAAAGTGGGACCATTTCTAACAGACAAAATATAATACAAAAATTGGTTCAGAGCCAGAGAATAGAAACAAAGAGGGAAGAGCCAATGCACAGAATACGAAAGCAAAGCGGAGAGAAGGAAAGTGATGGAAAATTACTTCTGTCCTTATCAATACAGTCTTATGCTGGACACAGACACCAAACAAAGGGGACTATTTTTAGTGAAGAGAGAAGCAGGAGAGACAGAGTGGTGTAAAACCTGGCTTCTCTCCCAACAGGATCACGTCCAAGGGACAAGTTGGTCCACGGGCCAGCCTAAAAAGGTCTTCCAGGAACATGCTTTATTGTTAGGCATTAAAAGGGCAGTTCTTTCAGTAGAAAGATGCACTGCCAAGAAATCTTTTACTTCTTTTTTTTTCCAACGTTTATTTATTTTTGGGACAGAGAGAGACAGAGCATGAACGGGGGAGGGGCAGAGAGAGAGGCAGACACAGAATCGGAAACAGGCTCCAGGCTCTGAGCCATCAGCCCAGAGCCCGACGCGGGGCTCGAACTCACGGACCGCGAGATCGTGACCTGGCTGAAGTCGGACGCTTCACCGACTGCACCACCCAGGCGCCCCGAAATCTTTTACTTTTTACACCACAGGACATAACCTAAGAGGTTTTTTAAATTTCAATGCTCAGGATTACTTATGGCCTTTGATAAGAAATGGTACCAGGGATCACAACCTTCCGACTATTAGGTCCATTTGAGAGGGTGGCACTTACACTGAACTACAGAAGCTTTCCCTACTGATCACAGACACCCAAGGTGTCAGACGAGAAAGGGGCTGACAAGGTAACTAACTGAAGCCCTCTCCATGCCTAGGGCAGGGCAAAAAACCCCAAAACACAACATGTCACACAGACATTAATTAATAATCTCTAAAAATGAAATGCCAAACAACTCAAAACTTGATGTTTCTGGGGAGGGTAACTGGGAGGCTAGAGGGCAGAGTAGAAGGAATTCTTTTTCAAAGGCTAAGCAAAATTTAAACTAAGAAAAGCTGGAGCAGAGGCCGGGGGAAGGCAGGGAGAGGCGGTGCTTAGGATGCCAAGGGAAAAAGAAACCAAAGTGGAAAAAAATGTTGCTAACATCTTCCTGGATCATTCTGCATTTTAGCACAAGCAACAAACTAGTATTCCACTGTTGGAATCTAAGACCTGAGCATGAACGTAACAGGAAGGTGGGAGGAAATGGATTTATAGTGAAGCCACATTCTCCCAAAGTCTTCAAAATAAACAATAAACAGCGAAACAAGGAAAGCCAAAATAAATAAACTACAAGCACTATACGCTTTCCCAGTTAGGTAAACCACTCCCAGGTTTGAGAAGCACAGCCGTGCAACTGTTAAGAGCTAACCCAAATCCTTCCTGCTTCAATGTAAACCCCGTTCTTCTTAGTCTATCAGCTTGGAACAGCTGGGTGTCACTCCGTCCTCAAGTCCCCCACACGCCTGTTCACACAGCTACTGAGAAGTTATTTTTCTGTCTCAGGCATGCAGAATAAGTGGCCTAATGTTCCCTTCCAGGTCATTATTCCCAAACTTTCAATGACTATTCGCTCTCCCATTAGCTCTAAGCTGTGACTTGACATTTATCTAGAGTTGTGTTCCTTCACTATGGTGACCACCTCCGCCTTCCTTCAACCTGTCCAGCACCAAACTTTTCTTTTTCCTATTTTATTTACTTATCACTTCCCTCGCTTTGTGCCTGAGCCGCTGATTTTTCCTCACTTCACTGGGTGATAAATCTGCACCTGCCTTACATGACTTTATATTCTGACCACTTCTCAAATTTATCAAGGTCGCTTTAGAATACAATCTCTTCCCAGGTGCTGACAACTAACCTCTCCAAGTCTTCCTTGCAGCTTTCCCAATGCTGAGAGTCTTAGAGGCAGCCGTTTCGTTTTTAGTAGGGGTGTGGTTCATAGTCACCCAGCCAGAATGTGCCATTCAAGAATTTACCAAGAAAAGTATGTGTGAGTATGGGTGCATGAGCTTGCTGTAAGAAAAATTTATACTTACAGATGAAAGATTCATATATAATCCAATCACAAACAATGGAAAGGAAAAATAAGAAGAATATGTAATAATGATGGTTGCCGAAACCTACAGCAAAAAGAAAAAACACATGTAATACTTTTGCTTACAATGATTTTCCAGATCAAGACCTTACTAACCACTTTCCTGTCAAAAGCTTCCACCAAAGTAAAAAAGTAAATAAGCTAGTACTTTGCATTTAAATACCATTAAACCAAAACCAAACAGCTCTGATATGTCATGGTCAACCGTCCATGTTAAATGAACTAATATTTATCTGCTGCTTACCTAAGAGAAGATACCTTTTTTGAACAGAGCAAGATTTACTAAGCATATGCAGCTCTAGGGTGGCCTATACTGCACTGGAGGAAGGGGAACAGGCAGGACTTTAGGCAAATCATACCCTATGCTCCTTGCACGTAACAAATTTAAGAAGTACAATTTCTGAACATCAGGGATTCACTTGATCAGGGGAACAGAGAAAATGAATCTGAAGAGCAGCACTAAATAGATTTGCTGCAGGCACCCACACACAGAAAAAGAGGGGCAGCCTGCAGCCTCTCTCGCATATGCTGCTTGTTTCTGCTGCTCTCTTGACACTGGAGTTGTGAGCACTCTGATGCTAATGGCACCAAAGTACCACCACGTCCCCACTTTCTCCGAAGACAGCAAAGCCCAGCAGCAGGAGCAATGCCCAGTGCAATGAGGAGACCTAGGTCCACGGGTGACTAGTTGTGTAACCACAGGGAAGTCATTTAACCTCTCTGATCAGTGTTCTTGCTTTTAATATGGGGATAATCTCTCTTCTGTCTGCTCCATAGGCCTGGCAGCCAAACAAGATGATCCACTACGTTAAATGCAGCATAATAAAAATATAGGGGCTCACTACTGTTGCTTTCCCACTTCCATTCACAGCTGCCTGCCTTAATGCTAATCATCCCATCTTTATGGTGGGATGGGGTCCATGAAGCTTGGGACCCTAGGAACTGTCTCTTCGCTGTTCTCTAGAACAGTAGAGAACATCAAAATGCACTAAAGAAACCTGACTCACTGAGGCAGCCTTTTGTTCAAGATTATAAAAGCATATCCTCTCCTGGAGACAAATGACCATAGTTCCTCTGAAGTTCCTCATAATAATCCCCTGGCTTTTACAGTGACCACTCAGAGGAAACTCAGGGCTACCGGCCAGGACAAGGACTACTCCACACCATCTCTGGTTCAAGCTCCTACTTGGGCTTTGAAGGAGCCAAGTGGAGAAGTACATGAGAGAGAGAAGCCACAAAATGTGGTAAGAACCTGGTTATTTGGTGTAGAAGACCAATACTACTAAAGTAACCTCAAGCAAATAATTTGCCTTTCATATTTTTTCACCTCTAAAATGGAGACAGTAATGCCAACCTCATAGGTGTGCCCTGATGATCAGACAGGAAACTATATTCAAAACTGCTTTATAAACTCTAAAATACTATACAAATGACATTAATTATTATCAACATCAAGTTTTCCAAACGTGTGAACACCGTAGAGAGGATTCTCTGACAAAGAAGAACTACAAAACGAACCCCTGAGATGCCCTTCTATTTTTTCTATTAATCACACATATAGCCAAATATATACTTAACTTCATAGTGTTAACTAAGAAATTCAATCTCTCACCTATGCACCGTCCAGTCCACAGACAATGCTGATCGTATCGAGCGACACAGGAGTTACACACGTGGCAATGAAGTGACCTTAATGGCTTCCTTATCTAAGTGGGCAATGAAGACAGGTCTAAGCAAAACTCAGTGTCTTTTTTTTTTTTTTAATTTTTTTTTTTTCAACGTTTATTTATTTTTGGGACAGACAGAGACAGAGCATGAATGGGGGAGGGGCAGAGAGAGAGGGAGACACAGAATTGGAAACAGGCTCCAGGCTCCGAGCCATCAGCCCAGAGCCTGACGCGGGGCTCGAACTCACTGACCGCGAGATCGTGACCTGGCTGAAGTTGGACGCTTAACCGACTGCGCCACCCAGGCGCCCCAAAACTCAGTGTCTTAAAGTGGTAACAAACCACAAGCAAACTCTTACTCCTAAATCATAAAGGCATGGGTACATATAATCCTAAATAGATCATCAATTGACAGAGAGGCTCTGGAATGCCTTATTAATATTTACTTCCACATATATATTTTGAGTAGGCCAACACTAAAGGGGTTTTGAATTCCAGAGCCTATTCACACTGATGAAAGGGAAATAAGGCAGCACCATTAAGAAAAAGGGAAAAGGAAACCCGAGTTACATTTCTGGCTCTGCCAATAATTTGAGGGAAGTTACTTCTTCCCTCTAGGCTTTGATTCCTCAATTGCAATGAGAGGTTTCACTAAGTGGTTTCTAAGGTCATCATGAGCCTCTGACTTGAAGTTAGTTCTAATATATCCTTCATGGCAGGAAAAAGCAATCAAAACACACTATGGATCATTCACAGAGAGATCTAACCACAGACATCTTGGAGAAACTGTAAACATCATTCCTTCATATGCTCAAGGCAGAAAACTATTCTGATAGTAATACAAAATTCGAAACTGGTAAAAACGAAGGTGTGCAAATATACCAGGGAGATTTAACAAATGCTTACGTGAGAAATGTTACCAAGAATATGCTTTCTCACTATGGGATAAAATTATTTGAAAAAAAAAAAAAAAAAAAAAAGACTCACAAGGCATGAGGTACAAAATGTTCTGAAGTCCAGACAGCCAGTCTCTGCAAGGGTGATGATATTCTGAAAGGCACGAAATTTGACCTTACAATTATGTTTTATTGGGGAACGGACAAATGCACGGTTATACACCATTGTCACAGCTCTCTCTCCAAACTGAGGTGGCCAGGAAAGCAATCTGGAATACCTGCCACCACATCATTCTGTGCCTGAAAATAATGTGACTTTTCAAGGCTGCATTTCCAACCACAGCCAATAAATTAGAAGGCACACATATTACACCTCCCCATTCTCTCCATGAATGGCAATCATCTAGTTATAATCTGCTACAGAAAACTAAACATACACGGATACATTCATAAAAAGCAAACAAAACCCATCAGTATACGTTGTAACTGATGGCGATAAGCACCACAGGCTCAGTCTTCCAGGAATTGCCTATAGGTAACACCGACAACGACAATTCTAAATATTCAAAGTGAAAGAAGACACGCATGTCCTCTGACACCTTCACATCTTAGGAAGAGAAGGAGCATCTCCTGGCAATAAGGAGGGCTCCCCCTGGCCCCTGCCTGGTTACTCGCCATGTATCAAATGGGGGTATTTAAGCTAAATGATCATTATCTAAGTGTTCCTATAAAGAAATCCAGATCGTGTTCGCTAACAGAAATTACATTTGAAAAGTCTTGGGTCTGACTTTAAGAGGAAATACAAAATACTTTTTAAAACGTTTCCATAAATAAATGAAAAGGAATGACAGTGGAGAAATCTCAACTTTGTTGATTTATGCTGCATCTATTACGTGCCAAGGCCCCGGAGATGCAGCCATGAGAAACATGAACATTGCTACAACCTTCCTATTAAAAAAAAAAAAAAAAAAAAGTAACATTACAAAGAAAGCTCACCGTTTTCCTTTCTTCTTCAGAAGCTTTAGTGAAGCCTGGATCAGTTGCCCAAGTCTTGTAGAAAAAGTAGAGGAAGCCTATTAGGCTGAGAATGAAAGCAAAATAGAAAGGGGTGCCTGCTAGATGTAAAGACCACGTTAAGGAATGTATCAACTTCCACTAAGAATAACATAATTATGACATAAGCAAATCTCATCATCGGTGCCTAAGAATCTCTCTGCATTCTAACCTCACGTTCCATTATGTATACACATCCCTGCCCCCAAACCTGACCCCATCCTATGTTCTAATCCCACAGGGATTTGCTCATAATTGGCTAATAATTAATCCCTTCTAATTAGCTGAAACTCCTACAAAAATTATTGACAGGAATGGTTGCAATATATAAGGAACATCCTGAGAACTGAAAAACATTCAAGATCCAAATAAGTTCGTCTCTAATGGTGTTACCATGGCTCTCCTGTAAGCATCTAAAAGAATACTTATCAGTCATTTTAACAAAATCATTCAAAGAAACAAACCATTTGATTCAGAGATTCCAATTAAAAATATTTCCTTATACATTAGATAAATGCTTGCAAAAATTTACTAATGGCAAGTTTAATTAATGCCTGTCACTGTATTAGGCTGTAGCGATTTAGAAATTAAAAAAACTGCTCTTTGCAAATTAATTACAAATCGAGTACTATTTTGGGAAAGGAAGGTACTATAGACACATTAAGATAAAAAGTATTTCAAGGATAAATATTGCCCACTTGGAAATGTTTTTGAAGCAGTACAAATTCTTTGTATAAAAAGTAAAACTTTGCTTCAGGGAAAGACAAATGAAGGTGCAGTAAGTAATAAGCCAGTATACCAGTAGTAAACCAATTCTCCTTGCCCAGTTTAAGTCATTACCAACACAGTAACCACATCTGCCTTCCAAGGTATTATCAGGCTGTCTTGTGCCAAACTTTGGACTGGAAAAGGCAGCCATAAAATAGACTCTAAACCCTTGCTATTCAAAGTGTGGTCCACAGACTCACAGCAGTGGCTTTACCTAGGAGTTTGCGAGAAAGGCGTCACTTCAGACTTCACCCCAGACCTGCAGAACCAGACTCTGGATTTTAACAAGATCCTCAGGGGATCCACATGCACAACAGAGTTTAAGAAGCACTGCTGTGACCCACAAAAACTAGCACAACCACATCCGGTTCAGGTAGGCAGGAACAAATCTTGTTGGTTTATTAGTTTATCAGTTTGGGAGCACCTGGGCGGCTCAGTGAGTTGAGTGCCCAACTCTTGATTTTGGCTCAGGCCATGACTTCACGGTTCATGAGTTCAAGCCCCACATCAGGCTTGGCACTGACAACAAGGAGCCTGATTGAAATTCTCTCTCCCCTCTCTCTCTGCCCCTCCCCTGCTTGTTCTTTCTCTGTCTCTCAAAATAAATAAATAAACATTTAGAGGAAAAAAAAAAAGTTAGGTTATCACTTTGTCTGCAGAAGGGCCTGGCTTTAAGAAATACATAGGATCTAGAAGTGTTGTGTGAAATGAAATTCTAACAAATGAAGCTTACTTAGATTGGATTAACAACACTGAAAAAGAGCACATAGGTCAAGGCCTTTAAAGAATCACATCCTGTTTTCTTTCCACAAAATCTTGATCAAAACACAACACATTCTCAAAAATACATTCAGTTGAATCACATGATTCTGCATATTGAAGTGACTGAACTTTGGCCTCCTGTTCTGAATAACTTTCAAAACAAATCCCAGGAGAATCACTGGATCCTCTCTAAGTCATAAGTAAAATGAATGCATCGAACCCCTCATAGGAAAGCCAAATGTTCCTTGCTTCCATGCCCTTGCTTTGTGTGGTTCATTAACCTCAAATGCTCCCCACTGCCCCCATATACTTCCAGAAACACACTTTTAGGACATCCAAGCCTAACTTTATTCTCCCTCCCCTTGCAGGTCTTTCCCGATTCCCTACAGCGAAAGGATTCTTTCCCTTCCCTGAGTCTAAAATGCCTGTTCTGTGGCACTTAGACCTTATAGTTATTTATAGACCGCTCAGCCTCTCCAGTTAGCTTGTGACTCTTTGCAGTTCAAGTCTCTCAATATGGAGCCCAGCTCTTCAAGTGAAATCTGCCTTCCTGGAACTTGGGACTAACCGGTTTTCCTTCTTTAGATCCTTTAGCTCTATGCTAAAAGATCTACACTATAGCTGTCCTTAGATCTACCCTATAGAAGCTTATTCCTCATTTGTTCGATAAATTTTTATCCAACGTCCATTCCATACAATACGTTGGCTTACAAATGATGGACTTCCAAACACTGGACATTGGAAGGCAGTGCTCACACCTCCAGGATAAGCAGCAACATTGTTCCTTGTACAGCACAGTTTCCTGGTCATGCTCCTCCACTTGTGCTCCCGTCTGTCAATGTTTCTCTTAAAACAACAGAATTCAAAACAGAACAAGCACACTGCGGGGTTGTACTGACCAGTGCCGGGGACAGTGAGATGGCTGTTGTCCTTTGTGTGGACTCAAATCCTTGTACTACTGGGGAATACAGTGGCTCCCTTGACACCTGTGTCACTCCCCACACCAGGCTTTCAGTCAAAGCTCTTGCTCTTTTGCACCTGATCTGGAACATGCCAGAATCACAGACGTAGCGTTCCGTGCTTCACCATTTCTTTCCTGAGTCTTCATCTCATCTCCAAACTCATCAGTAAGGTCCTATCTCTTCCACCTGATCCTGCCTCATAAAAGCCAAACACATTACTTGCTGAACATATAAAAAAGCACCAAAAGGAAGGGATCATCTGAGGAACCAGTCCAGAGTCTCCCTTAAAATTAATTTCAACATGCAGCCTTCTACACAGAGTTTATTCAGGAGAGTGAATAATAACAGAATAGGTATTATTTACAAAATGCCCATTATGCAATGAGGACCGTGGTCAGCATTTTACAGACATCATAGCATTCCTTGCAGCCACCCCACAAATTTGGTACTGTTATCCCTCGGGTTTTTTTTTTCTTGTTGTTGTTTTTAACAGAAAAATTGAGACTCGGTGAAATTCAATAATGTGCCCAGTGGTACCTAAGAAAGAGAGCCAAAGTCAAACTCAGTCTGATGGCAAAGATAGTACTCTTTCCACAGTGCCCCAGACACTTTTCCCATAAAGGACCGTGAGAGGGGAAGCCCAGACTCGGCAAAAGCTGGGACAAGATTCGTCTACTCAGAACTGAGCGCAGCACCTCCAGTCACACCCAGGGCCGTCCACACGACATTTACCCATTTACCGTTCAGCTTGGAAGACACTGATCTGATGGCAAAGTCTGCCACCTACTGACTGACATGCACTCACCCGTAGCAGGTGCATATGGCTGCCTAGATCAAAGGGCTTTCTGCTGTACACGCAAGTAAAAGATCCCATCTCATCAACTCTGACACAAGAGTCTGTCTAGCTTTGGAAATCAGTTCTTCTGAGGTAATGGCATCTTCGCAAATGGTGAGCCGCTTGCAATTAAACTCAACTGAATATGAGGTTCTGTGATCGAGGCTTGCAAAACTACAGTGGAGTTACTTTTTTGTTGATATAGATTCTGCAAAAAAATCATCAGGGAACACAAATCTAAAACTGTGTTTACTCCCCTGCCACATGGGTTGGTCAACAAAAATATTAGCCATCCCTTCTCAGAATCATGTCGCTTATCCTAGAATTTATCAGGCTTGAGATTTCCGCAAATAATTTGGGGTGTATATTGTCCTGTTGTTTTATACACTTGTGGTTACTTATAAAGTATTTTTATAACACATAATATCATGCAAGCCTTCAATAACTAGTGGCAGTAAGACTAGTGCTTAAAAAAGCTGCCCCAAATCACTAATCATGAGACAAAGGCTTTGTGTAATAACATCTTTTGATAAAAGTCAAATGAACTCCATGGTATGCTACCCCGTTCATTTACATTAAAGGAATTTGAAAAATATTAGAGAAAATGCTCAGAAACAAGTATCATTAAAGTATAAACATGCTATAATGAAAGGAGATATATGCCCTCTGAGAACTCATATGCTTCTTCACTTCACATTGATTTCTACGAAAAGAATATTCCTGAATTGATTGTATGCATTTCTCCCACAAACACCATCTTTCTTTTTAAAAATGCCATTACCAGAAGGACACATAACACAGAAGTTAAAGGAATATGTTTACAGGTACATTTCTATCCACTACATTCTTTCTTCTCCTACCCTGTAAAGAAAACAAGGTTATAATGGCTTCCTAGAGTCTCTGGAAGGGGAAAAGGGAACTTGGAAAGAGGTGGAAAGATAAAAAATTAGAGAAAATGCCTCCCTCCTAATGGCAGCTTTAGCTATAAACCAAGAACTCTCCTCGAAGAGCACAACACACGCTTAAGCTGGCCGTGGCCTGAGCCCAGCTCTTCGAGTGATAAACCTATCTCTTGGATGAGTTTTTTTTATTTGAAACCATGTGCTGCCATCCATTAGCAGTTCATGGAAGAATTAAGTGGGCTGTGTGTGACCAGCATTTTTAAAAAAAGAAATAGCATAGGATAAAATTACAGAATTTCACAGTAAAGCACACGTTAGGAGTATCGTTTTCTGTTTCACATTCGGTCTGGGTGGCAATGTAAATGTATTTTTACTGTAGACGAGAATCCATTGCTCTGGACAGGGACACTGCACTGGCCACTGCTGAGGAGGACACATTTCTCCGAACATCCCTCCCCTATAGACCATCTTGGCACCCAGAAGATTTATTAATCAACTGTAACTGCCGACCAAGTTAAAAGAACCTGCTGACCTTGAGGACAGTATCTCAAGGCAATACGACAAATTTTCATGGGTCCAAGTAAAACAATAATTCACTCTATTGTTTCTATCCTCTGAGTAATAAATACTAGACACTACTGCTTCTATGGTGTGTTTGGAGATTATTTCCAGAATTGAGCAGATTTTCAACATGCAACGTCTTCAACCAAAATAATTAAAATGCATACAAATATGAGTTATAGTCCCTGGATCTCTTCTAATACCTACATTTCTAACTATGGCATTACTATTGTTTAAAGGAAAAATGGGATGTGTATTTAAATTTCAGCTGGAAGGATATGAGGAAAGAATAAGATGAACCACGTTACAAATATCCAAAAAATGGAACTTAGCAGGAAGACTGTTGGTAAGTAGATGAGACTCTTATACCCGACCAAGAACCTTAAAGAAAAAAGGATAAACATACGGTATTAGTAAAAACAGGTATGGTTCATATTAATTTTAGCTCTAAATCCCCTTAAATAATAACAGTAATAATAACGGTTCCCTTAAGTAACAACAATAACAGCTTCCAGTACCGAGTGCTTCCAATGTGCCACTTGCCACACAGTAATTAAGAGTCTGTGGGGCGCCTGAGTGGCTCAAATGGTGAAGCTCAAATGGATAAGCATGGTTAATGCTACCATGACCTGCTACCGACTCTTGATTTCAGCTCAGGCCATGATGTCAAGGTTCGTGAGATCGAGCCCCACATTGGGCTTTGCACTGGCAGCACAGAGCCTGCTTGGGATTCTCTCTCTCTCTCTGTCTCTCTCTCTCTCAGTCTCTCTCTCTCTCGCTTGCCCTCCCCCACTCAAGCTCTTTCTCTCTCAAAATAAACATTAAAAAAAGTATTAAAAAAACAAGAGTTCGCCACCATCTCAACCCCATTGTACCCATGAGAAAAGTAAAGCACTCAAGAAATGCATGTTCCAGTCCTTAAAACTAACTTCTACATTATTTCATTCCCAATAACTTTCTATTTGCAATGAATCTTTATTTCTATTGAAAAATATCACATTTGTAGTTCTCTTTTTGGCATATCATATTTTCAAATATTCCAAAATGCAAAAATTTTAAATACTTCAGAGATTCACCTTCACATTTAACAAGCTTTCTTCTGGAGGCTAGCAGTATATTTTTAAACCATAACAGATGCACACGACCTTAAGCAGCCTTATCCCACAACCAGCTTGAGAAGCGGACACTGAACATAAAAAGAAGAAATAAAGGCTGAAAGTGGCCTTAGTCATCAAACACTAACCCTCTCGCTTGGGTAACGAGCAACGTGAAAGTCCGCACAGAACTTACTCAAATGTTAATACTGTAGCTTCAAAAGAAAAAAAAAAATCTGTCTTTCATGTTAAATACTCAATAGAGTAAATCCATGCAGGAATATGGGTTACCTGGATCTATTTTAAAATTTATACCAGGAAAAAATAATGGTTGATGATGGGTAAGAAAGGGATTCTTTAAAAGCTATCAAGATCATAAGTGTAATTATGATAAAATATTTGAGAAAAACTGAAGGTTCCAAGCCTCGGGCACATAATACGCGACCAGAACAGGCCAAATAGAGCCCACATAACGTCCACAGCATGACCTGCCTGAGATTAGGCAGCGCAGATGTGTCTGAATGAATTAAGCAGTGCAGTGAACTACCTAATTTGTAAGCGTCTGCTACCACGACCTGTGTGCTTCGAACAGGCATCACGTAGCAGCCTGGATCAATAGGCAACTGCGCCTGGAGCTTAAAGAAGAGTAGAAGTTTGCAGCTGCCTACCTCCATGAGACGCGGTCTCTACAGAAGGGTATGAAATAAAAGCAGTATGGATAAAGCTGCCATACGCATTTGTGTCCCATTTGAATCGTGTCCATATGCCAAGTCTAGCATACAAAGCCCTCCACTCACTGTCAGCAAAAATAAAAGTTTCCTATAAACTTTTGTACAATGTTGGTTTCTAGTGAAACAAAATCTCAAATGCTCCTATCCTAGGTGAGTAGATACTGTCAGCTCTTGCTTTCTCTCTGAAAGAGAAAACACAAAAACCCCAAAGTGATCATTGCGATTTCTGGTGATTTGGCTTAAAATTTCTTTGGCAACCAACTCACAATCTACTTAGTGGAAAATGTATAAATATCTCTAAGTTATAAGTTTTCTGTACAGCAGACAATTTTAGGCATTTTGTTATTTTTCAGAAATGTAAGTTTTTACTTTACACTTATATTCTAATTCATTTCCAACCGTCTTGCTCTTGAGTGACCAAGAGGTAAGATTCCTCTAATATTTTGTTTTTCCTTATTACTCAAGCAGCTCATGCTTATTCCAGAAAATGCTGGCAAGCAAAAAAAGGCATAGGAATACTCAACATCACACCCTGAAGAGAGATCCTTTTAGATCCTTTTCTACGGATCATCATCATACTTTACATTTTTCTTTCATTCAGTAAATGAAAGTTTACATTTACTGAAAATTGAAAAGAGAAACATTTCCTGCTTGCATGGGCCTTAACACTCCAGGTAACAGTGAGTAAGTGCCATGAAGAAAATCAAACAGGGTGATGCAGAGTTATTCAGGGATGGCCTAAGGAGGTGACACTGGTCCTGAGGCCTGAATGGCTGTGTCTCCTGCTCTAAAACGATACGGTATCAGAACACTTCGGACAAAGACCTAAGCAAGAGTCAAGGTCCAGGAGCGGCATGAGCTCAATGTGCTTTAGAAACAGAAAGAGGGCAGAAGAGCAGAGAAGGGAAGAGAGGAAAGAGATGAAGTCCAAAGGGAGAGATCGAATCACATGACACCTCACAGGCAAGGAGTTTGGATTTTATTTTGAAGACGCAGAAAAGTCAGTGGAAGCCATTAAGCAGAGAGAAAAAAAGGAAACTGTTTGCCTTTTAAAAAGACCACCCTGATTGCTAAGTGGGGATGAACTATAAATCAGGGATAAGAGCGGACCAACTGGAGAAAGAACAGGAAGGGCGTGGTGGTGAGCTGGATGTGGGAAGGGAAGAATGGAACACAACAGTAATCCAAGGATGACAGTCGTTATTCACACGGGGAACTGGATGCCATTTTACTGAAAGCAGGAAGAGACTGGGGTGTGGTATGACTGCTGGGTACTGTGTGTCAGCCATGGTTCCAGCCATTGTACATGTCTTAACGATAAAGCAGGCATTGTCACAACTATTATCCTCATTTTTATAGATGAAAAAAGTGAGGCACAGAGAGGTAAAGCAACTTGCTAAAGGTCAGACTGCTGTGTGGTAAAGCCTGACTTGAATCCAGGCAACTTGACCCTTAACCATGACTAAATACAATCATGTATATTTTCCTAAAAATAGAGCCATCCCACAGTTACCATTTTATAATTTCCTACATTTCAGTTAGGTCGTTTCAACTAAAAAAACCTTAAAAGCAAAAATAACGAGCTTAAAATGAATTCAGATCAAGGAAAAAACACAATTTCTGAAAAGTGGGCAAAAGTGCCTCAAGATGCAAAACACTTACAAAAATCTCATTATTTACCAAAATCAACCATTCAAAAAGTGAGCTAGGGTCTTTATTTCCTACCAGTTGCCAATTCAATCAAACTACTGGGTTGACCAATCTGCTTTTAGCCAAATCATATGCTACCAAAGCCCTTCCCTCCCACCACCCCTGAAGACGTTCTATGTGGTAAATAACATTCAGAGCTCAGTAAAAACTGCGATTTCAGCTAATTAACAGAAATAAACAATCACACGGAAATGCAATAACCAGCCTTGCAAAGACTAATATACACACCTTGGAAGCAAAGATGTCAGAAAAAACAATGTTATTAGAAGACATCCTTTCAAAAGCCAAGAATCTGAATTGAAGTCCAGTATGTATCCAACAGCCCACATGGTAATCACAGAAAGCATCAGCAGCAGGAAGAGCTATTAAGAGATTCAGAATTTTAGAACCTTATGGATTTCACCTCCTAAGTATCTAATAATGATTAGTACCACAGAAGAACTTCTTCTGAAATATATAACTATTAATACAACAGCAGAACACAGTTGTTCTTCAAAATTGCTGATTAGTAAATGTGAAGTCTGAGAAAATTACCAATCTTGGAAACAATCCTTTAAAAACCTTAGATTTTACAATATATTGCCTAAACATGTTTTCTTGTGCTTTCTTCCCCTCCAAGAAACAGGGGTCTTTCAGAGGAGTGCTAATGAGAGCTGACATTTTTAAAAATAATTTCTTTCAAACAGTATTGTAGGTCAGAAAGCACAAAGCAAAACAAAGGGACCACACAAAAATCAGGACACCCAAGGCTCAAGGTGGAGAGTGCAGCAGTTCCAGCCTGGACACTAGATGGTGCCATCCCTTAATAAAGGTCAGAGGGAACAAGTCTGCAGAAAAGACGACAGTTGGAGGCATGTGGAATTTCAGATGCCTATGGGGAGATAGCCAGGACGCAGTCAGAAAAGCGGTCGACCACCCAGGAGAAAACTTTGTATTCATCAGTATATAATCTGGAAAGCCATGAACCAATAACATCCCAAGGACTGTGTGCAAGGTAGAAAGGGGCAGAATCTTCGCCAACACAATCGCTGAAGGGGAAAAAAGCTAAGTTGTCAAAGGTAATGAAGAGTGACTGGTGTGACCAGAAAGGCAGGACGTGAACACAGGAGAAAGGTCCCAGCAAAGCCAAGGAAGATTCGAGTTTCAAGAAAGGAGTAATTCTCAGTTGTCAAATGTCACACGGAGGCCAAAGACTGAAACATGTCCTTGGGATGCTAATCATTTAGGTTTATGCCGGCAAAGTGAAAAGAATGAAATGTCTATGAACCAACAGTGTGACTGTCTGTACTGAAGCCAGGCACCACATTTCTGCAATGCAGTCCCTTAACTGCGATATACATGACCTTGGAAGCCAGTAAGGCTTTTGCAACGGCAAAGGGAAAAAATATAGTCTGCCCTATTTTCTTCCACTTTTATTTCTCTAGGTGTTCTGAGGATGAATACTTTCAAATGCTATCAAATCTTTTAAAGTCCTATATCAGTTAAATGTCTGACTCTTGGTTTCAGCTCAGGTCATGATCTCACAGTTCGTGAGTTTGAGCCCCGTGTCGGGCTCTGGGCAGACGGTGCAGAGCCTGTTTGGGATTCTCTCTACCCCTCTCTCTATGACCCCTCTCCCCCCCGGCTCATGCTGTCTCTGTCTCCCTCAAAATAAATAAACTTTAAAAATATATATAAAAATTAAAAAAAATAAAATCCTAAATCTAATTTGCAAGGTAATCGAGTTTAGATTTTTTTTAAAGGTAGTAAACTTAGAATCTATGAGCAACATAATCTCAGAACAGAAATAAGAATTAAATATGGATTTCAAATTTTTTCTTTCTTTTTAATTTGAGAAAGAGAGAAAGAGAGAGAGCACACAAGTGGGGAAGAAGGGCAAAGGGAGAGAGAGAATCCCAAGCAGGATCCATGCCCACTGCAGAGCCCAACACAGGGCTTGATCCCATGACCCTGGGATCATGACCTGAGCTGAAATGAAGAGTCAGACGCTCAACCAACTGAGCCACCCAGGAGCCCCTGGATCTCAAAGTTCAATCCCAGATATAACACTCATAAATGAGCCACACTATTTACTCAATAAATATTCCATTGTACACTATATGCTGCAGCACTGTTCTAAGCACTTGGGACACATCATGAATTTAAGGTTTTTCTCTCATGGAGCTTAAATTCTAGCAGAAGATGACAGCCAAATGTATTAGGTGGTTTAATAGCATATAAACAGCTGGATCACACAGGGCCTCGTAAGTCACTGAAAGGACTTGGGCTTTTATTCTAGGAGAAAGGGGGAGACATCACAGGATTCTGAGCAGATGAATGACAGGATCTGACCTACATTTTAAAAGATTCATCAGTGGACGCCTGGGTGGCTCAGTCAGTTGAGCATCCAACTTCAGTTCAGGCCATGATCTCACAGTTTACACTGCATCGGGGCCTCTGCTGTCAGCACAGAGCCCACTTCAGATCCTCTCTCTCCCTCTCTCTCTCTGCCCCTTCCCCTGCCTCAAAAATAAGTTAAAAAAAAAAAAGATTCACCTGGCTGCTCAGCTGGGAATGGACTAGAGGTGAGCGGGAGCAGGGGGATGACAGACAACTGCAGTAAGCCGCAGGAAAGACACTGGAGGCTGGACCAAAATGCCATTGGTGGAACAGTGAGAAGAGGTCAGATTCTGGATATATACTGAGGGCAGAATTAGCCAATGTGTTTTCCTAGTGGACTGGATACATGGCATGACAGAGAAAAGACAAAAATGACTGAAGACTGGAGTTGCCACCTACTGAGAAGGAACAGGCTGTAGATGGAGTAGTTGGGGTGGGGTGGGAAAAAGATCAGGAGTTCAGTTTTGGATATGTATATTGGAGATATCTATAAGACATTGAACTGGATAAATCAAGTAGGTAATTCGATATAGGAGTCTGGAAAGATCTGGACTGAAGATAACTTTGGGAGCTGTCAATACACACACGGCATTTAACGCCATGGAGGTGCATGAAATCACCAAAAGAGGTCCAAGAACAAAATCTTGGGTCACCCTACCAATAAGGGTAGGGGAGAAGCAGAGGAGCTGGCACAGGATACTGAGGAGTAGCAGTTACTTCCTACTCTCTCCCTCTACACGCCTGAATGCAAAATAGATGCAGTATTCGTAATGAACCGCTGCAGACAAATCTGGGCTCTGTGAATTTAGAATCATTCTGAGAGTGCAATTACTAATCATCATTAGAAAAGATGATGCCGTCTTTCATATCTGAAAACATTAAAAACAGAATCAGTTCAACACCCCATTTTAACAATCTGAATTATGACTAATACGACACTACTAGGGCTAGATTTTTATGAGAATAAGCTGAACTTCTTAACTTTCCCCATCAGTTTAACTGTTAAGTTCAGGAGGACATCACTCAGAAGAACTGCCAAGTTGAACAAAGCATAAAACTGGGGGTCATCTCTTGAAATTCTAGATGTTTTCATTTTGTGAAGTCTGCTAACTCCTCATGATTCTAACAGAACATTGAATGCTACTGTTTGCCCCTTGAAAAAGATTTTTAGTAAAAACAAATTTTCCTCTTGCTACTCTAATAATTTAAACCATCTGTTTCAATTCATTCATTAAGTAAATGTGGAAGTCTGCTATGATATTCACAAGATAACATGTAGCTTTAGAGCCATCTAGCTGAGGACCAATAGTAAATTGCCAATGAAAGTGCCACACTTCCAACTCTGGGCTATGGGACACATGGGGCAGATGTGACCAGTGGATATAATGCAGCCCTAAGCCAACTCCCTGGTTTCATCCTGGTTTCCTCCCTGATTTGCCTTAAAAACAGAAACACAAATGAATAAAACGGTTCTTATGGCCCACAGAACAGGACCCATATGAAAATACCTCGCACTTCTGCAGCCACCTCCAGAGTCTGAACTTTTTGTTAGCTCTCATTTTGGCTTCTGTTTTTAGCATGTGAATAATGAGCCTATTTTTGTTTTGTAGAGCCATATCAAGAGGTGTTTCGCCCTTAAAAAAAAAAAAAGAGAGAGAGAGAGAGAAAGTTCAATTATATTTTTGATAGAGTATGGGTGTTAAACATTGTACAAGAAATCAGCAGAATCATAGACTCAGTGTATTCATTCTGGAAGTAGTCAGTTACTGTCATTGGTTATTTATCTTGTGGTAATTGAAAAATATATGTATAGCTTATGTTTATGTTGATGTACTAATTTTCTAACTGAACATATAATAAACTAAAGGAGATAAATACCTGGTCATACCTTAACATTTCGGATGTCCAGGCTAGAACCGGCTTCCAAAAGTTTATCTACAGCATTAACATTTCCCGCTGCAACTGCCCAGTGGAGTGGAGTGTTTTGGTGTATTTTATCAACCACACTGAGAGAAGGATTAAACTTTAAAAGAAATCCAGTTGGTTCTGGCCTGTCTCAAAACAACAAAATACCAAGGAGTATTAGAGAGATGAATGATTTGAAAGGTAAATGCAAATAATGAATCTTTTAAGCTAACATATAAATTAACCACTCAGTTAAGTATTCTGAAGATCGAGAAACTTCTTTGTGCAGAGTTCTTTCTATTCCAGGGGCTAATAGGAGAGATGCACCTCCAAAAAAAGACATCTATTATGTGATAGTCAGCAATACAAATACGATAATTTCAACATCAATGTGCTGGAATAACTGCTTTTGTTTTTCAAACTTTTACTTTCATGTAGTTATTGTATTGCTTACCTTTTTTTTTTTTATTGTGAATTTAACTTGGGCCAATGCTATGTTATTTATCTAATTAAAAACTAAATGTACACAACACTATATTTGAGGAGATAAACCAAAAGCTGACTTCCATGCTTCCTTTAACCAATTATTAAATAAAGCAGGCATAAATAATGTCCTAAAACATTCATTTATCTTAGAAACCTATGGACTAAAAGGCAGAGTTCAATAAAATATTTTTACTTTACCATAAATACCTTCTCTTCCTTCATGACTACTCAAGAGATTCTTTTAATAAAGCAGTATTCTATTTTACTTATTCTATCAACATCTTTAAACACTATTATCTGACCTCAGAGTTGTCAGCGAAAAAGACAAAATGCTTTTTAACAAAATTCAACCCCCAGCCCCAGCACTCCATGATCAAAAGGAAACGGCATCACAACTACCTTGGATCCTAGGAGAGAAATCCTAAGTAAAAGTAGAATCAGAAATTAAGCACAACACAAATTCATAAAGGCAAAACTGTAGCAAGTATTTGAACAGAATACCAGAAGTTAGACTACATGGTGGCCATTAATCACATGTGTTTATAAACAAACAGAAAAACTTAAACATGTAAGTACCTGATAGAAACATATAAACAGACCATACTCATATTCATAGATATTCAAAATCTGCTATTTTCAGAGCAGTCAACAATGTCAGAGAACCTTAAAACATACTGTTGTCTGGAAAGAAGATTTTATCATCTCGATTTCAAACTTGGAGAACATTTAAACCTGTAGTCATTTTTTTAAAAAATGCAAACTGAGAAATATAAGCCATGTTCACAGCATATACTATAAAATCTCTATCTGCTCTATAAGGAAAATTTTTTCTTATTAGCAGTTTTCAAATTGTTCCCCAAAGCTATCAGAAGAGAAATTTTATTTCAGTGGTGCTTTTCTAGCCGTAACTACATTAAACGTTCATACCACAGTCACAGGGTAGAAAATCTTCAGAATGTAGTATCATCTCAACATAGACTAGGCTACTTAAAATTATACACACAGAAAAGAAATTGTTAGAACCAAGAATCAGAAAAAGGCAAGTCAGTTAGACTTACTTACCCAAGTACTTTGTGAGCTGATAACATGAGAGGTGTCTGCCCATTTAAATCTGTCATATTCACACTCTGTTCGAAAAGAAGAGTCAATCAGCCTAACTGTAAACACAGTCAAAATTCTCTCTTTAATAGAAGTATCTCTTTAATACATTCAACATCACCATTGCTTTTACAAGAAGCGTTCTGATATCATTTGAACAAAACAGTGTTCTGCTCCTCACCCAAAGGGTGAAAATCCATTGATTTCTACAAAATACTCATAAAGGAAAAATTTGAATATACGCTTCAAAGTGTTGCATGATGTGAATGGAAGAAAGCGAAGGGAAAGAGGAAAATGCTGACAATCACCATCAGATATAAGAGACCTTAGGAGTCATCTAGTTTAGACCTTACCTGACACAGTAATTCAAATTATCATGTCTTACACAAAGCCACCCAGAATCCATGTAAACACTTCCAGTGACAATGAAACCTCTATCTTTTCTGAGGCAACTCATTGTAATTTTGGACTTATGTTTCAAAGACTAAAACATGAAAAGTTCTTTTCTATTTTTTATAATATGGGGGTGGGGGTGGGGAAGGAAACCATATCTCCATAAGGATATGCTCCTTTTAATAAAATGGGCCCGTGTTTGAGGTGCACAATAATGGTTCTAACCAAGTCAAGGAAAGAGTTTCAGTTACTGAAGTGTCTCTTGGGCCTTGGAGGAATACGACTTGGGAAAGAGCCCAAGGAGAAGCAAACAGGGCTCCTCCTCATACGTCTTCCCAAAATGAGACCCAGGAAGTTATAATTATTCTACTTCAGTGGGCTAAGTCTGAGAGAAAGTGCTTATTTAAAAGGAACACAATCATTCCAACAGCATTTGTGCAAACATGTTTCCACGCCTGTTCTAGGCGAGTCTGCTGATACAGAAACCACTCTGCTACCAGAAAGCATATCCCAGGCAAGTATGGCTGACAGGGAGACTCCCACTGCCAATACCCTATAATTTAACCTGTGCCATAAATGGATGCCTCTTAAGGCAAGTCATTTTTCATGGAATTACTTTAGAGAACAATAAGAAGCACACATTCAAATTGGTCTCCTATTTGCACTCAAATAATGAAAGCAAATGATGGGTTCATTTAGTGATCTGACTTCCATTTCTACATTCAACCAGAAGAAAAATACAGGCTTTTGAAGTCATGTTTTTGAAAAACTCTGCAAATTACTGGGATCATAAGAAAATCTATTATAGGTTTACAAGTTTCAAAAACATCTATTACATGTTACTGAGCTAAATGACCTGTCCTTTTTGCTCCAATGAAGCTGGAAAAGCAGCATTCAATACCTAGACTTACTGGGGCTAATATTTGAATATTTGATACCCATAACATATACTCTAAAACTGAGGGCAGACCTACTACTAATCATCCTCCCAATCTCTTCAGATTCACAGCAGCTGGAGTATAAGATATGTTTCTAAACATACCTGTCCTTTTGAGATGAGATATGCTATAATAGGCATGTGTTGAAATAATACTGCCAGGTGGATGCTGCTGAATCCCTCCCCATCGATGAGAGTGGGGTCGGCTCCATACTGGAGTAATAATATGACCATAGGCAAATGTCCTTGTCTGCAAATAGAGAGTAAAAATTACACCGTTTTCTACAGCATGCAGTAAAAGAAAAAATTTCAGGAAGAAACTGGTATCCCTAAGACATGAGAGATTTGGGGGGCACCTGGGTGGCTCAGTCGGTGAAGTGCCCGACCTCAGTTCGGGTCACGAGCCCGTGGTTCGTGGGTTCGAGCCCCACATCGGGCTCTGTGCTGACAGCTCGGAGCCTGGAGCCTGCTTCAGATTCTGTGTCTCCCTGTCTGTCTGCCCCTCCCCTGCTTATTCATATTCTCTCTCTCGCTCTCTCTCTTTCAAAAATAAATAAATATTAAAAACAAAAACAAAAAACTTTACAACATGAGAGATTTTGGTTCGATACAAAGAGTATTTCCGAACAGACTTTCAAAACACTGGAGACTGTCCAAATGTATTTCACTTTGACACTCCAAACTTAGGGCTATCTGGACAGTCCTTCTTGAATGCAGGTAATACACTTAATAACCTTCCAATCTATTATCAAACCTTGTGTTGCTATAACGTATAAATAATACATGTATAATAATAATTATGATACATGACTAATGCTAAAAATAAAAACTTAAAAAAAATTTTTTTTAACGTTTATTCATTTTTGAGAGAGACAGAGTGCGAGCAGGGGAGGGACAGAGAGAGAGGGAAACACAGAATCCGAAGCAGGCTGCAGGCTCCGAGCTGTCAGCACAGAGCCCAACTCAGGGCTCCAACTCACAAACCATGAGATCAGGACCTGAGCCAAAGTCAGACGCTTAACTGACTGAACCACCCAGGTGCCCCTGAAAATGAAAACTTCAAAACCATGTACACTTCACTGTTGTTATTTTAAAACCAAGAAATAATCATGAGAATTGAGGTATAACATTCAGATTGCAGGTACATACTATGATAATATTATTCTTAGGAACTACAGACTTCTACATTTGAATATGGCTCATTTTCCATGTAAAGCATTGCACCCCACTTGCTCAAAAGGGATGAGTTGGTTAACCTTAGATTCTTCAAAATTCTGGGCAGTGGGAAAAAGATTCCACTCCTGTCTTAAATAAACAAGTACTCATTTTAGTTCTAGGTTCACGTCAACCCCACCAACCAGAGACTGGAATTAAAATGACAGATGAAGAAGAGCGTCTGGTTGGCTCGGCTGGTTAAGCACTAGACTCGCGACTTCAGTTCAGGTAATGATCTTGTGTTTTTTGAGTTCGGGCCCGGCATGGGGCTTGGAACTGTAAGCGCCAATTCCATCTCTCCCTCTGCCCCTCCCCCAATCTCTCTCTCACAAAATAAATAAAACTTTAAAAAGAAATGACAGATGAAGAAACTGTTAAGTATCAAGACAGGCACATATTAATTTCAGCTTCAAATGGCCAATATATTCCAGCGAAAAACACTAAGTAAGTTTACAGTTCACTGACTTATCACTTTATCCATATGATCAGCTATAAAAGATACTTATTTTGATTATAAGAAAGTATAATACACATATTTCAGTTTTAGCATCATAGTGGGACCCTAAATTAAACAAAAAAAAATATACTGTCCCAAAACTATAATTTTCTTTTTTTAATGAAAGGGAAAAAAGGGAAAGAAAGCCTTTCTTATGGCCCACAACAGCAGTTTCCCGATATGATAGTTACTAGGCACATTGGCTATTTAAATTCAAATTAGTTAAAATTAAATAAAATTAAAAATTCATTTCCTTAGTTGCATTAGCCACATTTCACATTTCCTATGTGGCTAGTAGCCACAATACTCGATGGCACAAAATAGAACATTTCCATCGTCACAGAAAGTTCTGCCAGAAAGTGCTAGTCTACAAGATTCAGAAAATGAACTTAGGTCACCGTGACTCTGAACAGCAATTTCAGTGTTCCAAGAAATCTTTACCTGATGGCCCAGTGAAGAGGTGTCGAATTTAAATCTCCACCCAACTGATCTACTACAGCACCTTTTGAAATATAAAACCTATTAAAAGCAGACATAAATGAAAATAAGATTTAAAACTTAAAATACATACTGAGAAAGAAAACATCAATTTTTCTTAGTGATAAATATACGACAACAGAAATTATAATAATGACCCTCCCCCGAAACACTCAGACCTACTGAAGTCTGAGATTCACACAAAGGCATCAAACAGATCCCTGGTGAAATAGTCTTAGCATATCAGTAATTACTCCTGCTGTCATAAGCTTTCCATCATAACTTACATACCAAACGCATGATAACTACTCTCACCATATATTCTAATTACCCAGCACTCTTAAAATGGTTTATATTCAAAACACTTAGGATCACACAGATATTCTACTTAACCCACAAGAAGAAAGGTGGAACAATGTCACTTGTAGAATTACTATGTGGAATTGAATTCTAAAAGTAAGTAGTAAAAACTTAATTCAAAATCCTTTCAGAAAAGTTAGATATTCTGAGTATTTGGCTTCCTATTTTGGGGTCGCAGAGGTGATACACTGTATCAAGTGAACCTATAAGATGAAGAGACTTATATTCTTCTGTGGTTTACAGGAAGTGGTCTCATTATGCTCAAGTTGTACTTCATACATCATATTATCTAAATAATATACTAGTTTATTTCCACAGAAAAGGTGTTTGCCTGTGACTATAAAGTGTGGTTTTTTAAGTGTATTTTAAACTTTAGTACATTTTTATTTTCTTAAATCCCAAGGATTTTAAATATATATAATACAAAATACATACACATTCACACACACACATTTAATTTACATGCTAAGGTATAAAATAAACAAACAAACAAAAACCACACAATGGGGAAGTAGTGCTCTATGAAGGGGAAATATTTCATACAATCCAAACATGTCTACCTAAAAATGTATTCCATATTTAATCTAAAAAATGGTTAAATCATTCTCCTACCCATCCATACCTCCTGGGATTTTAACAAAGTAAAATATTTCCATGTTTTTTCTAAACTAGACGAAACTTTCTGTTCTATCCTGAGGCAGTTTATGTTACGTTTTTCCTTTTCAAAAAATGTTCAGGGCACCTGGCTGGCTCAGTCAGTAAAGCATGCAACTCTTGATCTTGGGGTTGTGAGTTCAAGCCCCACGTGGGGCCTAGAGGCTACTTAGAAAAGAAAAAAACAAAAACAACAGTATTCCATTTCATTGCCTGAACTTTATCTTTACAATGGGTCCCATGGCTTTATCTTTAATTTTCCTTTTTGGGCCAGTGAGAGTCCTGAACTAGATGGGTCAATAAAGCCCTTTTCAACACGATAATAACCGATGCATGCAGCACAAAATTTCAGGTATTCATTCACAATAAAAGATTATAGATGGTACAGCATTCATACTTGTACTGAAAGAAAAAGACAACTGAAAAGAGGTCTAGAATAAAAAATACATACTTAATAACACACACACAGCCCATCTTACTTTACAAGATCCAGCCTGTTGTTAATAGCAGCCCAATGAAGAAGCGACACATTTTCTTTGTCTGGTTGCCTGACATCATATCCTGCTTCTACCAACTCTTTACAACGTTCAAAAATCCCGTACCTGAAATAAGAGGGGGGAACAAAAGGCAGAATGATACCATTAAAATAATTTCAAATACCAAAATTTATTCCGTTTACCATGTCTTTATCTAATCTCTCAGCCAACACAGATACAATAATTAACAAGGATAAAAATAAAGAGGATGTATTCTTAAGCCAAACAATAAAAAAGTAAACTTTATTTACTAACTCATCAGACAGATACACGTGGAGTTGAACTTGATTTTCTTAACTAAACTTCAACATTCACATTTGCCCTCCCCTCAATAAATTTCATTTTATCATTTCCTATATGCCAGGGATGTATGATGCTCGTCCCTAACTACAATCCTATCCCTGAATAAGAGAGACAGACTAACAGCAAACTTGGAATGGGATAAATTCAACAATACGATGTGGGCGTGGTGTAATTATAGCAAAGAAAGGAATGATTAGCCCTTCCTGAAGGAGATAAAGCATGATATATAAGCTGTTTTACAGGCTGAAGGAAGGGCATTTCAGGCAGAGAAAAGAGCATGTATAAAAACCAGAGACGTGAAACTGCATGGATGTTTAGAGAAATATAAGCAATTTAGCACAGCAGAAACATAAAAGCATAAAAAAAGGGAGTGGCAAGAGATCAGGCTAAAAGAGGCAAGCAAAGGCTGCATGGGCCTCTATGCCATGCTATGCAGCTTAAGACTTGATAGTTCGAAGGGAAGCTTCTGAAGATTTTAAAAAGGAAAGCATACCCACTCTGAGTTCTAAGAAAGATCCCATTTGTGGTGATATGGAGGCTAATCAGAAGAGCGTGACTCTTGTACATAAAAATAGGTGGGAGGTAATGAGAACCTGAACTAAGAGAGGCAGTAAGAATGGAAAAGGAGGAATGGACTTGAGGGATATTTAAGATGGTTATTTAAGTGACTATCAGAATAAAAAATATCTTTTGAATACTACAAAAATTTTTTAAATCATTCATTAGCTTTATTTCTTTCTAATAGAAACTATTAAGTCCCCAACAGACCATTTAACACTTTCTTTGAGACTTATTTTTTATGTGTTTTGTTTTTTTTTTTAAGTTTATTTGAGAGAAAGAGCACACATGCGTGTGTGCGAGTTGGGAAGGAGCAGAAAGAGAAGGAGAAGGAGAGAATCCCAAGCAGGCTCCATACTGTCAGCACAGAGCCCGACGTGGGGCTCGAACCTACGAACTGTGAGATCACGACTTGAGCCGAAATCAAGGCGGATGCTTAACTGACTGAGCCACCCAGGCGCCCCGATACTTATTTCTATTTAGAGGGAGCCAAATGTTTCAATAGGCCCTTAAGGGTGAAAATCACAGTGTTAAATTAAATAACGTATACCTCACCAAAATGTGTGTGCTGATCAGGCTGTCTTTACGGTACTTTTTTTTTTTATTTATTTATTTTTTTCAACGTTTATTTATTTTTGGGACAGAGAGAGACAGGGCATGAACGGGGGAGGGGCAGAGAGAGAGGGAGACACAGAATCGGAAACAGGCTCCAGGCTCTGAGCCATCAGCCCAGAGCCCGACGCGGGGCTCGAACTCCCGGACCGGGAGATCGTGACCTGGCTGAAGTCGGACGCTTAACCGACTGTGCCACCCAGGCGCCCCTTTACGGTACTTTTTAAAAGGTAGAGATACTTATTGACAATGTTAAGTGAAAATAGTAATAAGAGAGTGAACTGTGAATAAAGATACGTATATTTATATTCTCCATGTTTTAAAGGTCAACTTTAACATTTTACTGAAAAAGAAATACTCCCTTTATGTGAGAAATACAGTAAGAGTACACATTAATTAGGATTTTGGTGATTTAGAGAACATACATATCCTAGCTCTCTTTGCCTTTTCCAAACACCACCTAATGATATTCCCACAACCACTTAAGGAGGTCTAAGACCTAAAGTAAATTTTAGGAAAGATATAAAACGTGAGTTTTTACTGGAATTCTCTGTGAACATAGCCTAATTTCTTTTATTTATCATAACAGAGCTCTACTGGCAGCAGAGAAACATTTAAATGCTTCTATGCTAATGCTAATTAAAGCAAATAATTACCTTAAGAACACTCTTACCTTCACATCAACATAATAATACAAGTAATATCAAAAAAGACTCACCTAAAGTAGCAGTTCCAAGGGCTTTTCGAGTTCATAGGAATTAGTAATTAGAATACTCAAATAATTATTGATTTCTTTTTTTAACATTTACTTATTTTTGAGAGACAGAGCACAAGCAGGGGAGGGGCAGAGAGAGGGAGAAGACACAGAATCCGAAGCAGGTTCCAGGCTCTGAGCTGTCAGCGCACAACCCGACGTGGGGCTCAAACTTACGAACTGCAAGATCATGACCTGAGCTGAAGTCAGACGCTTAACCAACTGAGCTACCCAGGCACCACAAGTTGATTATTTTTTAACATAAATAATAGATTAGTTTTTGTTAAGGCCTAACAGACTAATCAGTCACCAAACGTCTTTGCTTTTGAGAGAAATTATATCAAGTTAGTGTGGTAACATTAGTTCCTTACATGCTGATTAGAAGCTCTGATGGGCAGATTTACATTTGATCACTAAGAAAATGATTCCTAATTAATGTAATCTAAAAGACAAAATATTTTGAAACATGTTCAATGGCAAGAGGTGGGGTGGATGTTAATAACCAGTGAGATCCATGAGGGGGAAAATGTTAGAAATGATTTAATACAAATACCCACATATGGAGATCTCAAGGGGAAACTTTCAAAACACACTTTCATTTACAGTGCAAGCAAATAACCCACTATATGTTTCAAGTGGCCAGAATACCTATTTCTATTTCACTGACATTTTTCCAGAGCACCCCGTACAATGGGTACATAGAAAGTATTTGAGGGGCTCCTGGGCGGTTCAGTTGATTAAGCATCCAACTCTCGGTTTCGGCTCAGGTCATGATCTCCAGCTTCGTGAGATCAAGTCCCACATCAGGGTCTGTGTTGACAGTGCAGAGACTGCTTGGGACTCTCTTTCCCCCGCTCCTCCTGCTGCTCTCGCTCTCTCTCTCAACATAAATAAACATTTAAAAAAAAAGAAAGAAAGTACTTGATAAATAATCGTTTAAAATATCCATTAAGTGTCCGAGCTGATATTTTTCTATCCCATTGACTTATTTAGGTTGTAGCACATTTTTTAAAACTCCAATTTGTTTCAAACTCAGAGTCTAGTTTTACTGTCATTTATAATCATTAATTCATTCAACGAACATTTATTTGGCAGCAAACATAAGAAGTATGCAAAAGCACTGGGGTGACAAGGATGAAAATGACCTGCTTTCGCTCCTAAGCTGCTCATGATCTAATGGCAGAGACCGGTAGTAAACTGCTAAGTTGCACTGTATTAAGTGCTCTGATGCCCATAGGACAAATACTAGCCGCTAGAGTATGAGGTGAGGAAGATGCCACAAACTGCACAAACATTATTACGATTCCACAGAACGCAGAAATGATCAGATGAAGCACTGGGGAGACTTACTGAGTAGCTTTTACAATGTCACAGTTACTAGAGTCCTCTATGAGAGGAAGAGCTTCTCTCGCCTTGGCAAGTTCTTTGCTTTCATATGCACAGACTCCATGTCGACCAAATCCTGGAGGGTGGGGGCCGTGGCTGTGATTCCTGCACTGAAGCATAAGAGAAATGTGACAAAGCATAGGAGGAGAATTAATGTCACATTCAATTACATAACGAACCAGCTGCTACTATCAACAGTGTATCTATATTATCAAATTAGAATTACTTTGAGTCTTCCAGGTATATCCTAGGGAAGATTTTCATCTTAATCCTATTCACTGAGTGAGAAGATCATCAGAAAATTCCCCATTATAGATTTTGTCATTAAACAAAAGTAATCTACAAAGGCACCAATGGACCTTCTGACCTGTAGTAGCTGGAGGGTTACGGCTACTGACATAGTAGGAAGGTCAGCAGCTCTCTGCTTTGGGGAGTTGTAGCAAACACCCTAAGGATACACCCGAACCTCCCAATAAAACAAGTTCTTGAATAGGTATAACTGGAGTCTCAGGAGAGGAGGAGAAAATATTTTTAAATATTTGACTAAATACCCCAAAGCCTTCCAAATTTGGTGAAATTATAAACTCACAACTCTAAAAGCTCAACAAACCCAAGAAGGATAAACCTCAAAACTGTACACAAAGCAGGGATCCTGGGTGGCTCTGTCGGTTAAGTGGCCGACTTCGGCTCAGGTCAAGATCTCATGGCCCGTGAGTTCGAGCCCCGCATCGGGGCATCGGGCTCTGTGCTGTCAGTGCAGAGCCTGGAGCCTGCATGGGATTCTGTGTCTCCCTCTATCTCTGCCCCTCCCCCACTCACGCTCAGTCTCTCAAAAAATGAATAACCGTTAAAAAAAAAATTTAAAAAAAAACTGTACACAAAGATATATCATAATCAAATCACCAAAAACCAATGTTAAAGAGATAATCTCAAGGGCAGCCTAAGGATAAAAGATCCACTGTGTTAACAAAATCAAAGATCCGAATAAATTCAGACCTCTTATCAGTAAGTGCAAGCCAGAACGCAAACACAACAGTTTTCAAGAGCTGAATGAAAGAATTACAAACCTGAAGCAACAGCAAAAATATTCTTCAAAAATGGGGGTGAAATACATACTTTTTCAGACAAACAAAAGATGTGAAAATTGCCAGCAAACTTATATTCCAAGAAATGATAAAGGAAGTTCTTTAGGCTTAAATGAAAATAATACCAGATGGCAATCTGAATCAATACAAAAGAACAGAATGCCAGACCACATGGGTAAATATGGATAATTATGTGGGTAAACATAATAGATTTTTTTCTCATTTTTTAATTTCTTGATGATAGTAGAGAAACGGAAGTATCCTTATAAGTATACTTCTAAAAGATGTTATAATAGTTATAAGAGATACTATAGTAGTATTTGCAGGTAGGTAGTGATGACTTAAAGCATATAATGCTAACCCAAGAGCAACCTTTAAATGAAGAGGTCTAAGTAATAAGCCAAGAGCAGAGATAAAATAAAATATATAAAAGACACCAAATTAATATTTTTAAAAAGGCAAGAAAAGTAGAAAAAAATGAATACAGAACCAGAGAGGAAAAACATACAAGATGATATTTTCATACCTAACCACGATATTGATAATCATGTTAAGTGCAAATGGTCATAAATAAATAAATAAATAAATAAATAAATAAATAAATGACAGAGATTGTTAGATTGGATTTTAAGACAAACAAAAATACTACAACTATAAGCTGTCTACAAGAAATCCACTTTCAGTATAAAAATATACACAGGTTAAAAGCAAAACAACAGAAAAAGATATGCTATGCAGAAACATTAAGCGTAAGGAAGGTAGCTGCTACATTTATATAAGACCAAGTAGACATTAGCACAAGAAATATTACCAGAGATAAGGAGGACATTTCATAATATTAAAGAAAGAAGTCAATTCATCAAGAAGACATAACAATCCTAAATGTGTGCGCACCTATAAAAAACTAAAGTTCATGAAGCAAAAACTGATGGAACTGGAAAAAATAGAAATTTTCACAATTACATTTGGATATTTCAACATTTCTTTCGATAACTATGAAGGAGTAAACAGAAAATCCTGTTGGATAGAGAAAAGGATAGAGAAGACTTAACACTATCCACCGACTTGATCCAATACATTTTCATAAAGCTCAAACCAACAACAGTAGAACAGATTTTTTTTTTCAAGTGCACACAGAATACCAAGACAGACAATATAAAACATGTCTCAACAAAGTCAAAAGGACTGAACGCATACAGAGTATGTTCTCTCACTACAACAGAATTAAAGTAGAAATCAATAACCAAAGGGTATGTGGAAAATTCTCAAATATTTGGAAACTGAACAACACATTTCTAAATAACCTATAGGTCACAGAAGAAAACAAAGAATAAGTGGAAAATATTTTGAACTGAATGGAAAAGAAACCATAGCAAAATACGTGGCATGCAGCCTAAGCAGTGTTCAGAGTGAATTTTTAGCTTTAAAGGCCAAACAGGCAAAAAGAGTCTAAAATAAATCATCTAAGTTTCACCTTAAGAATCTAGAGACAGAAAACTAAATTCAAAGTAGGCAGAATGAAGAAAACAGTAAAGGCAGAAGAAACCCATACAATATGGAAAACAATGCAGAAAATCACTGAAAAAAACTCATTCTTTGAAAGGAATAAATTAATAAAAATTAATAAACCTCTAGTCAAATGGATCAAGAAAAAAGAAGATGTCAATGACAAACAGGCTTAAAAAGGAGACATCAGTACAAGATTCTATGAACGTTAAAAAGGTAATAAGGCAGGGCTCAGTTGGTTAAGCGCTCAACTTCAGCTCAGGTCACGATCTCAGTTTCTGAGTTCGAGCCCCGTGTCCAGCTCTGTGCTGACAACGTGGAGCTTGGAGCCTGCTTCGAATTCTGTGCCTCTCTGTGCCCCTTCCCCCATTCACATTCTGTCTCTCTCTCTCTCTCTCTCTCTCTCTCTCAAAAATAAGTACACATTAAAAAAAATTAAAAAGGGAGTAAGGCAATAATGAGAACATCTTTACGTCAATAAATTCAACAACTTAGATGGAATGCAAATACCTCAAAAGACACAAGTTATCAAAATGGGCTTAAAAAGAAATGAGTAGCACTCTAGCTATTAAAGAAATTGAATTCATAATTTTAAAACTTCCCATTAGGGGTGCCTGGGTAGCTCAGTTGGTTGAGCATCCAACTCTTGATTTCGACTCAGGTCATGACCCGGAGTCACGGGATCGAATCCCCTATCGGACTCGACCCTGAGCACAGACCCTGCTTAAGATTCTCTCTCTCCCTCTCTCTCTCTCTCTCTCCTTCTGCCTGTCTTCCTCACTTGTGTGCACAGACACACATGCTCTCTCTCGCTCCCTAAAAAATCAATCAATCAATCTTCCCATTAAAAAAAAAAAAAAAAATTACCAACCCCAGATCTATATAACTTTTAACTGATGAACTCTATCAAAATACTTACGGAAGAAATGATATCAACTCCTTCAGAAATGATAGGGAATGCTTCCCAGCTCATTTTAGGAAGCAACATTACCCTGATACTAAAATCAAGAGATGTTATAAGTAAAAAACAAAATAAAATAAAAAACAAAGCAAAAAATAACTACAGATCCAATATCCTTTAAAAGCACAGATACAAAGATCTTTAAACAAGACATTAAGCAAAGCATACCCAGTAATATGTAAAAAGAATAATATAGATTATAGCCAAGCTTAAACATTTTAAAACAAATCAATGTGACTCACCATATTAACAGAATAAAGGAAAAAAATACATTCATTTCAGTAGGAAAAAAGCAGTTGACAAAATTCAACACCCATGCATGATAAAAACTCTTGAATAAAAATTCCTGGCACAGCAGGGGAAGAACAGAACTTCCTTAACCCGATAAAGAGGTACAGGATGAGAAATCAACAGCTAACACACACTTTGTGGCAAAAGACTGCATACTTTAACTCTGAAGACTGAAAGAGCAAGGATGTCTGCTATCACCACTTCTTCTTTTTTTTTTTTTTTTTTTTTTAACTAGGCTCTAGCCCAACATGGGGCTTGAACTCACAACCCCAAGATCAAGAGTCGCTTGCTCCACCAACGGAGCCAGCCAGGCACCCCAATTTTAATCAACATTGTACTGAAGTCCTAGACAGAATAATAGAGTAAGGAAAAGAAATAAAATGCATACAGATTAGAAAAGAAACAAGTCTATCTTTATCTGCAGACAACAGGATCATATACGTAGGAGATCTAAGCAATCTTTATAAAATTCAAATAGCATCAAAAATATAAAATACTTAAGATCATTTTCTATCATATCCAGCATTTTTAATTACATTCAAGGGGGAGGTTCACATCAAGTATCTAGCAAACCATTCCTAGAAATTGAAACTGGCTAATTATTTCATCATTCCTTCTTGTGCTTTACCATAAGGTTATCCAGCCTTCACCCACCTGATTCATCAGACCTATCTCTCTGAACTTTTCACTGTTTACAAACAGCCCCCCACCAAAAACAAAAACAAAAACAAAAAACCCACTATTCTCAAGGGATAAATACACATTAGGAATAGAAAAACTGAAGATATTTAAAATAATATGCCTAAGTCAATTCTCCAACAGTTCCAAAAAAGGTTTAAGAAATGATAGTTTTACTAAGTCTATAACCCCTCAATGGGTTTACTAAAAGAGGAAACAGCCTTGTCTTTTTTTAAGTTAACTTACAATAAAATTGACTTTTTGGTATGTAGTTCTATGAATTTTAACACATTATGTATATAGAGTTGTGTAACCCACCACCAAAATCAAGATACAACACAGTTCCAACACCTCAAAAAACTCCACTGGGATATTCCTTTGTTGTCATACCCTCCCCTCCAATCTCAACTCCTGGCAATTACTGATATGTTCTTCATCACTAGTTTCATATTTCCCAGAATGTCATATGGAATTATATAGTACATAATCTTCTGAGACTGGCTTCTTTCAGTTAACATAATAGTTTTAACATTCATCCAAGTGGTTTTATGTTATTAACAGTTCTTTCCTTGCTGTATAGTATT